ATACACTCCAGTAGAAAAAATGCTTGCCTGAGTACAATTAGTAAACAAACAGAATCCTCCTCAACACGTAGCTACTTTTCCTGATAAAAGACAGCCACTCATTTATTTGATTTTCAGGCAGACAGAAAAGGTGATAGAAATTACGAGGATTAACTACAAAATAAAAATTATGATTTGGAATTGTAAAGATTAATAAGTTTCCTAGGAATTTGCCTACTGAAGATTTTTCTTTCAAAGGAGACATACTATATCTTAGGGGTACCTCCCCACCTAGTTTGCAGCAAGGAGTATCAGGCCATCCTTGTTAGTCGTGTCGGTTGACCTATGCATTTGAAAAGTCTGGCGTTTGCCTTATTGTACGTCAACTTGAACATCATGGTGTAAAATTCTGCAAATAAAATTTCATGCCATTCAAGGCATTTTGAAAGGAGACATAAAATAAAATTTTTCCTTGCATCAATAACGAGGGCAAGTGCCCATGTGGTATATAATTCATCTGCTTTCAGGGAATTTATTTTTGAGATGAAAAGAGGAAAAAATCCTGACTGTTCTGCAGCACAAGTAACTGTTGTAGAGATTTGTGATGATTAAAATAAAGCTACCTGTTGGCAATACCACAAATATGAACAGATCTTTTCTTAGAGTCTACTACATTGAGGGAAAGAAAAATGTAGCTGACCTAACAGTTACCCATCTTCCAATTTTATCATATGGACCCATGGGTATCTTCATCACATGCACTAGTCAAAACTCAGACATACACTCAGCACACTATCAACTCTTCCTCCAGGCAAGGATTTCATTTGGAATAACACAGACATTGCCTTCTAGACTTCAAGATTCACAAAATGTCACATCTAACTTGTTCATTTGCATTGGAATCCAAATCTACATCAGATGCCCGCTAGTAGGATTAATGGTGAATCCACAATATTTCTATCCCTTGGAAATACATAAGCAAATCTCTGTAATACTTGTTGATACAAGTGATACTGAAATTCAGATCTATGTAACCTGTGACTAGAACTATCTCTACTGCTCCATGGAACTGCTTCAGGTATGACTAATGCACGATCCTCACGAACACCATCACTTCATTCAAACTACTGAAGAAACAGATGCTTTCTTTTTTTTTTATATTTTAACACTATTTATATGCTATGCTGCTTATAATCTTTTACACATTTTAGTTTTTTACTCTAAACTGCATGCGATGATGGCAGAAACAAAGTTCCTTTGCATCTATTCAGATTTAGAAAATTAAAATTGTTTTCCAGTAAAAAGGAAGAATTCTATACTAAGAACTAGGTCTTTATTTCATGTACTCACATTAAGCAGCACCTCACTCCTAAGGGTTCATTGCTTTCATTTAAATTATTCTGCAGGATGCAAATCAGGATACTGCAGGAACGTTCAGTGACTGTTTAAAGTCTGTCCTACACAGAGGAGCATGCAAATTGATTCTGATTCAACAAACAGAAGAGACACTGTTCTGAACTAGAAGCGTAGTAATAATCTTTCATTTCTAAATAGTGAAGTGGTAAGTTTAACATGCTATAATCAAATTATTTGAAGATTAAAACAGATTAAAAAGGATTTTCGCTGTAGCTTCTTGTCTGTACAATTTAACAATGCTACTGTTCCTCAGTTACAAATTTTATTTTTGTTCTTTAGAGTTCATTCAACGAGGCATTCAATGTTAGTTTCTAATGAAAGAACTTGTTCTTTCAAAAGCATGTAAAAGAAAAATAGATGTGGTCAGTCATCTAGAATGACACCAAGAACAAAGCAAAATCAGCCAAACAAAGTAAAATATAAAAAAGCAACAAGCAAACAATTAAAAGAGAAGCTTAAAAACAGCAGCAATAAAAATGGAAAAGGAAAAAACAAAGCAAAAACTAAGTTTGTGGTACATCTGATCATGCTACACAGTCACAGCTAATAATTCCACATTATTTAAATAGTCTGTGACAAAAGGACAGTTAACTATCTGAGAAATGCCAATCATCCTTAGCTAGAATGAGCCTACTGATTCAAGATCTAGTCTTAATCTCAGAATAAACAAGAATAAAAGGGGTCAAAATTACTAGCCTACCAAAAACACTGTCAAGTGAAAATAAACTCCTCAGCACCACATTAATATCCATTAGTTTGTGAGTTATAGATTCAATATGCTAATACAGTAGGGAGACTGTAATCAGTGAAGCAAAACACACTATTTTCAACAGTGACAGTGCCAACCTTGTAGCAGGCCAATGAAAAACACTTTATCTGTGCTACGTCTGGAATTGTCTCAAACATATACAAAATAAGATCATCACCATGACAACAGGCGAAAGGCTAAAGACATAGTCACCATCAGTGCACTGGGGCCCTGTGGAGAAGGGACAGCCTTGCTCTGTCCAAAGCTCCTCAGTTTGTTGATTAACTTGTTGATGAGCAAACTTGTTTACGACAAACCTGCTGAAATCTAACAGGCTTAAAAGAATGCCTGAGAGAAGCTCAGGGTGGCTTTGAAACTTCAGTATGTTGAAACTTCAGGACGGGTGCTCGCTCAGACCAAGGTTACCCTGTAGGCTAAACCAATGCTGGAATCCAGATCAGTGATTGTCATGGTTCTATGTTTTTTTTTGTTTGTTTTTGTTTTTTGTTTTTGGGTTCCAGTATTCCACATCAAAACATCATGTAGTGTACGGGGCATTAAAGTGTCACTGCCCCAATCCCAGCTACCTATCCCTGTACATTACAGCAGTCACGGGATCTGGCCCTTCTGGGTGGGGGGAGCGCTCTCTTGCTGCCTGGCAGTGGGTGCTGGAGGGTGCTTTCCTGGCCGTTCCAAGCTTTTCAGGTTTGACTCGGTCCCGGGAACTCTCTCTCTCATCTTGTCTGATTTATTAATCCCAATTTCAATTAAATTGTATATATTGTATTATCTTGTATTCCGATATTATAGTAAAATAAGTTTTCCTCCATAGATTGTTGCCGCTGCTCTTTTCCTCCCTTCCTTCCTTCCCATTTTTTTGTGGGACTGGAATGGGGGGGGAGGGCAGAGGCCTGTCGCCCCTGTCACGGACATAGATTGATCTGATCAACTCTGTGACAGTGATCTCTTTCTCTGTCCATTTCTCTTTCTGTCTCTTGCCAATTCTTCGCTTTCTTTTCTTTCCTTTTCCCACCAAAAAGTTGTTAAGTAATGCAAGCCTTACTTCGATTTCTTATAAAGTTGCAAAGTTTATGTGCACAGCTTAGAGAGATACAATTGTAAGAATACCAATACTTTTAAGATAATTGTAGTACAGAGATTCTCATTAAAATTGATGATTGTGTTCGGAACTTGAGTGCCAGCTTCACCTTAATCTACCCAGAGGGAATTTGAGAATCTGGTCACCCCTCCTCACCCCTCCCTCTTTTGACAGACGGGATGTGACAAACAAGAGGGAAAAGCTGTAAGAGAGTCTTGCTGTGAAATGGGAAAAAACTAAATATGCATTTCATGAAGACATTCAAATACCAAGTTCAGCAGAAGTAATACACGTTACAGCATAATAATTAAAGTCATATTTTTGAGTGATAAAATCTTGCAATAAATAAAGCCAGAATGGTGCTGGTGGAGAAACAGTGCTGTAGTGTGTCTTGCTAATTGAACAGCTATAGCTATAGCCAGAGTTTGAACTCATAATTTCTTTCTGCCTGGGCTGCTAGATGTCATGTCTGTAGAGAAACATTAAAAGGAACATCTCTATTACATATACAGCACATGGACCAGTATTAACAAACTGTACAACATGAAATGGTCAAAAGACATGCAAATAAACCCAAGCTACCAATTTCTTTTTAGATTTTCATTTCTATCTTTTTATTATACTATATATATTATATTATACAATATATTATATTATTATATATTATATTATTATATATTATATATTATATAATATATATTGTAAATATATATATATTATATTATATTATATTATTATACTATATATATATAATATTTGTATTTAGAGATATAGAGATGTGGCAACAGCAGTAATTAATAACATAGACATAATATAGGTATTACACTGCTATGCCTCACAGGATTTAACATGAAATCCTATGAAAATTCCACTTAAGTGAGCAAACTAAATAATCAGATTAGTTTCAAACAAATATAAAAGAAATCTCTCTGCAGTACATCTATAGAAATGAATAGTAACTGTTCCTTTTTTTCTGCTATCTTGTAAATAAAATAAAAACATAGCATTACAATAGTAACTACAATATTATCCTGCATAATGTTTCACAGATCTTTCAAAAAATTGCCTCCAAAACTCAATTTATTATCAACAAAATTCAATGACGTGCTAAGTAAGAAATTCTGCATCTTTACATTACATCACGTAAAATAGTAATACATAAATTTCACCATTACAGTGTTTCAACAGAAGTCCATTTCTATTAATGTAAAATGCTAGTTTAGCTGGTGGCCTTCAAATTATTTGCTGGCAACATACATTAAGTTTGATATTATGCTATCCTATGAGGCAAATCAAGCAATAGAGGATAACATGTAATTGCTACACTTTCATCCAGTAAAGCTCTACCAGAACAGTTAACCATCAACTGTCTCATAAGCTCCACAGACAATAATCAGATATTGAAGTACATCTGCATTTGCAGCAAAAGTCAATGCTTTTGTCATTCTTATGTGTATTCTTAACTGTATTATGTGGCTCCAAGATTTAAGGTGTGGAGAAACAATACAATAAGTTGTGCATATAACATATTTGTTCCTACTGATGCTTCCTAGACGAGTATTATTAAAATTTACTCTTGGAGATGATATATTAGAATAAATTTAGTGTTTGATATATTAAACTATACTCAGTATTAACAATGTAACATGAAATATCAAATAGAATAAATGCACACATATGCACACACATGTACACACACAATCAGTATTTTTACTTTTTGTAAAGTACATCTTAAAAGAGGAAATAAGAACTACTTACACCAGAATAGAAAGGCTCACCAGACACACAGATCACATCCTGCTCCTGGATCATCAATATATCTTTGGCTAAGTGCAGTCGCACTTTGAAAGGCTCCTGGTTACCATCCTGCAGCAAACAAATCCCTGTCTTTGTCTTGAAAGGAATAAAGAAAAAAGTTTTCTCAGCATGCTCCAAATTTCAAAAAAGACAGATGATAAGTCTTAGTTGAGAGTTTGATACAGTTTGTGTTCATACTTCAATAAGTATCCAAAGCTATTACCAGTTACTTCTATGCATTTACTGTGCTTAGACTGAAAGAGAACAAATGGCTGTGGTTGTAATGAGCAGAGGTACGTTTTTCAATTACAAAGCCTAATTCTGTCCATGATGAATTTGTAACACATCTCTGGTTAGCTTTGGGGTAGCTCTGGTTATACTCTCCATCTCTGGATTAAATGATGACAGCTCACTTGGATACAAAATCAAAACTGCTGTTTCTGCGCGCTGCACCTTTTTTGGCACAAAAAGACATACAACTGTATAACATCTCCAAACTAACCACTAAGCACTAACAGCCTATGTGAACCTGTTCTGGGCTTTTCCCAAAGCGCAAGCACATCGAATTACAGTACTTTTCAGTGACAATACTGAAGTTAAGAGACAACAGGATCAAGGAATATAACTCCCTCCAATAACTTAATTCCCACTTCACTTCTGTATTCTGTATTTACAGCTACAGGTCAGGCATTCCATAGGATTCTCCTGTATAAAGTATATGGCTTTTGAACAACTTAACGGAATCCTTGTCAGCACATATTGGTGCAACTTTTGGGATTCTATCTATAAGAGATAAGAGCAGTGAAAAAATCTGCAGGTGGAAGCACACACAGTATTAGCAGTATGTCCTTGAAGGCTGTATTGAAATTAGCATAAATAGACAAGTTGCTAGGACATTTTTGTATGAGAAATTTATTTACATATTATGTAAAAATTAGCAATTTAACACAGAATTTGCCTTTATCGTATAACTACAAGTACTTGCATAGACACAAGTATATATGTAATTATGTATATATCTCAGAAAACAATTTTTAGTTGAAAATGGTTTTAAATCTTAGGTCATCAATGCCAGTAACAGAGCTTATGTTTTCTTCATTCAGGTCAGATTTTAATCCACGGGCTGTAGAAAGTTGACTTGAGAGAAGATCAAGGACACAAAAGTCTTGTGGTGAACTTTCTCTGCCAAGGTTGACCTGGCTGAATCTAAGGGCTCTTTCTCAGACAAGAGTTTAAAAGAGCGTTTCGAAGATCTCCCCATAGTAAGCTCTGATACCCTAGATCTATAGCATGAAGAGAAAAAAACAGAAATACAGAACTGACAGTAGGCAACTGTAAGAAGGAAAGCTTAAATTATTCCTACAAGGCGCTAAAAGAGGTAGGAAGGTCAAGAACAATCTTTAAATAGTTTTATATAATCTCCCTTGATGAACTGCTCTTTTACTTTGGCTCCATGCTCAATACTCAAAAAAATGTTTTCTCTGAGGGACAGGCTGCTGCCTGTATAATTTACTGTATAATTTACTCAAATCTTTGAAATATTTTATTCAAGTAACAAAAACAAAAGGGTTTTGAACACTAAACTCACACTAAAGGTAGTGGGTGCTCTGATTATACAGACTTGTTTTAGTATTTATGTGTCATTTTTGTAACAGGATGGGATAGAAAAGGCTTGACACGGACAGACAAATTAAATAACTGGATCAGCAAAAAGAGTTAAGTTTTCAGTACCAATGAAAAACTCCCTCATAGAACACATATAAAATATTAGAAAATAAAAATAAAGAGATGGTAATATAGTTAAATTGCACAATTCCTTCTCTTCATAACTTTGCTGTATAGACTCAGAGGGATTCTTCCTTGTATGGAGTTGTGAAGTAAGCAGTAAACAACTATGGTCAAACAAAATAGATAAGCCCACAAACACACATCATTTATAAAACACCTTTCTCCCACAGTAAACGTTAGCAAACATGCTCTCCCTCATCCCCTGGATAAATGGCAATGGGATAAATTCTGACTTTAATATACTGGTTTTAGTAGCACTGCCTTACTTGACTGCACATTTCTGATTTGGTCTATTACCCTATAAAGTCTCAAAAGAATCTTTCTGCACAAAGCTAAGGGGCTTCTTTGTGGGAATTAAGAGGCACATAACCATAGCAGGCACAATTAGGCATTAGAAAAAAATTTAAAATTCAAGTCAGTCTCCAAATGCGTGTGGGCTGAGTTTATTCAGTCTGAACAAAGGAAACCAAGCTTGGGAACAGCAAAACATTTTGGCTCTTGGAAAGATTGATTTGCACATTCAGGCATCTTACTTACATCAGACACTCTAAAATGCAATGAACCACTTCACTGTTGGGCTTTATGAAAGCTGGTTTATGATACAGTTCAAAATTAAAGCTTCAATTATGCTACGTCCTTCCCTATGTTATCTGAGAGCAGCATAAACAACTATATAAAGGATAAGATCCTAGGAGATGATGCTAAAAATCCAATTCAGTTTCATTAGATAAGCTCAAGACAATTCCGTAAGAACAAAGACCTACATTTATTTTTTTCATTGTTCTACTTATATCTCTTGACATTTCTTTTTTCTTCCTTTTTTTTTTCCCCCCTCCCACCTTAAAGCATCCACTAAACTGAATCAAATAAGGAGGCAAATTCCTGCATCTTTATACTGAGCTGCAACTTAGTGAAGTTTTTCTGCACATATGGTTTCATGTAAAATCACAGTGCACATCAGCACCTTTTATCCACACAGCATGCAGAAAAACTAACCTGGCTGGAAGATCAGGAGGGCTGTCTTGTCTATACCCTCACAATCTCTTGCATGTACCAAGGCTGTGGCTGATGTCAGCTTCTGTTCCCTTGACTAACTTTTATGAGATTCCACAAGAGGGTGCGCCAAAAATTTTCCCTTCAAGGCTTTTATATTTCACTGCCAGAGGGTCCTGCCCTGCCCTGACTTACAGCAATAAAATAGCATATGTCATGTCAGCTGAGCTACTGTTACTGTCAGTGTGAGGTCAGGCAAAGCATCCTCTCCTGCTCAAATGTATGATAAACTGCACTGCATTGAAACAGACATGGAAAAAGGAGTGTAGTTCAGCTGCTAACATTTTGTTATGCCAATACACCTTGACTGCCCATGTGAGTGAGCCCAAACTGCTCACTCAAAATGCTTGTATTTCTTCCTATTTTCTTCATCCTATTTGTAGAATTAGGCACCTGTTATAAAGAGGGCAAGAAAACTGAGTGTTACAAGCTGCATGTGTTTATGAAGTCTACAAGGCAGGGTATGGAAGGGATAGGGAAGTAATAAACAGTGATGAAAGAATGAGGTTTTGTATGAGAGAGCAGTTAGTGACTTCAAGCAAAAGCAATGAAGAAGATAAAGGTGTCTTCCTTCCTAAGTGACAGATGCAGTGAATTCTGCACCTCCACTGTATTGTCTCTGCCATTGGATGCCACTTACTTTTTAGCTCAATTACAAAGGATCACTGCTTCGGTAAGAGATGATGTCGTTGGTACGAGTTTAGAAACTGCCTGCTGTTTCTGAACTAACGTTATTATGAGAGGAGCTGAAAACTGATCCATCCATGCTTTGCAATACCACCGTGTGTTGAACTTTCTGTTTCAGAACACTGCTGGAGAATGGCGTAACATAGCAGAGCCCTCAAAGCAGGATACTTCTACAAAGAATATGGCCACACTCAGATGATTACCAGCAACAAGGCATTGAAAAAGGTGTTTCAAAAATCTTTTTCCATTATACTCTGATTTATTCCACATAGCCATATTGGTTGTGCATAAAATCAAGTCCTGATATCTTTCCTAAAAAGAATTTATAAATTCTTACAGATTATAAAATTTTTGCTGTAATATATATGGCCTTCACAAATATTTAGAAATTAATTTCAGAAGAAATATATACAAAAGAGAGCTCCAGTTCGGCCTGGAGAAGAGGATGCCAGGATAAGAAGCAGTGGGCACAAACTGGAACACAGGATGTTCCCTCAGAGCACCAGAAGCACCTCTGTGCTGTGCAGGTGACGGACGCTGGCACAGGCTGCCCAGAGGCTGTGTGTGGGCTCTGCTCCTCAGAGACCTTCAGCAGCTGCCTGGATGTGGGCCTGGACCCCTGCTCTGGTTCCCCTGATAGAGTGGGATTAGACCCAATGGACCCAGAGGGCACTGCCAGCTTCAGCCATTCTGTGATTCTGTTAAAACTATGGTTTGTACATTTTGGTTAGCAGAATGGTCTCTACTAAAGGTATACCAAAATAAATAAGGTTACACATTGGTTTCAGAGTCATTTCCCTGCAGGACATAAAACATCAATACCTTTTAATTTACTTGGCCTAAATAAGGCTACTGACAGATTTACTGTTAAATAATTTCAATTTTCATTTATTATTATTATTATTATTATTATTAAGAATTTTAATCTTTTTTTCTATAGTCCAAAGCTTTTCCAGGGTTTTGTTCCAGAGGAAATTTAATCAGTATTCCAATCCATCTTAGTTAATCTTCATTAGTTTTCAAGAGACTAATATATCTTTTGGTTAGGCTACTTTATCTATTGCTTTTGCCCTTTGGTAATAAAGCAATTTAGTTTACTTTAATTCCTCCAGTTTCAGATCCTTTTTAAAAGACCTCGGCACCTCAGCAGATATCCAAGAATTCAGTCTGTGAAGCAATGGAAGAAAGAAAGAGGAAAAAAAAAATCTCTCAGTGATTTTTCTATACAGGATGACCTGGACTTTAATTTTCTCCTTTGGTTCTTGTCTTCCAAAACGTAACAAAACTCTGCAATTTAGTTTAAAGCCACAAAGAATCCGATACCAGTAAGGATAATGGGTTGCAGAAACTGCCTTAAAAATGTATGCAGTTAACTTCAGAGGAATACCTACACATTGGGATGTTTATTTGAACAGAAGCTGACCTCAAGGCATACGGAGACATTCCTGTCACTGCTTTACAATGGCAAGTATAATAATCAAAAAGGAAAGTGAATCAGAGGCGTAAGGGAGTGATGGCAATGAATACAAGAAGTAGAAATATGTGCCAGAACCACATAAAAGGCATTT